ACACCCACCTGCCCGTAGCCCCTGCCTCTACAACACTGACACCAAAGAGAAGCCCATTTGCTAGAAATCACATGTGAAATTAAAACCTAAACTCGAAGTGCATGCCACCAAAAAGACCTATCCTATTTTTTTTAACTCTGAAAAGTAAGAACACCTCGTTTCTGCACCTGCCCCGCACACTCCTCAGCTGTTCCGGAGCCTGCACCGAGGTGCCAGCGAGCGAGTCCCTGCTGCCCGTGATACGGAGACGCTGGAACCTAGTAACCAGCCGCCGTGTTCCTCCACGGCAGAGGAGTGGAAATAGGAGATTGTGTGGGGTTTTTCCACACCAACAACAATTAGCATATAAAAGGCGCGCTCAGCATTCCGGAAATTGGAATGGTTTTACAGACGCTGTGCCAGGAACACGGGGAAAAAAGAACAAAAGCATCTATTTATTACACTGTCTTCCGAACTCTATCCTCTCGCTTTTCTAGGTTTTCTCATTAGGGACGGGTGGGGGGGAGGGGGGAAGCCCAAGCCAGACCACTGCTCAAAGCCCCAGCTAGTTTTCAGAACAAGAAACGCAGCCAGCCCCACTCTCTTCTGCGGCAGCACAAGGATGTTTAGGTCGAACGAACTGTAGGATCACTGACCGAGTCCGGCCCGTGTGGCTCAGTGGCTGAATGCAGACCTAGGAGCCAGGAGGTCACGGTTCAATTCTCCGTCAGGGCACATGCTCGGGTTGTGGGCTCGATCCCTAATAAGGGGCGTACAGGAGGCAACTGATTAATAATTCTCTCTCATCACTGATGTTTCTATCTCTCCCTCTCCCTTCCTCTCTGAAATCAATAAAAATATATATTAGTAATTGTTTAAAAAATAAAATCCCTTCCTTACATTGTTACATTTCTTTTTTTTATTTCTCTATTCAATCTTAATCCATAATAACAGAGGTTAATGTACTTATAACTCTTCTCAAAGAATTTTTTTTGACTGACTTGTTTCTTGGATTTTAATTTCATTACTTTCCTTTTAATATTACTTAAATTTTTTTGTGAATCAATTACAAACAGAAATTTAATTCTTGTTTCTCAAGTTTGAAAACTAAACTCTGAAAAACAAACAAAAAAAAGCCCTAGATAGACACCCTCCCTTCCAAAAATGTTTGCAATACTAATTACTGTTTGATAAGAGATAAGGGAACTCATCAGTATTTCATTTATTCAACCAAGATGAAGTCTTTGGGATGATCCGTCTGCTGATGTAGACACCGAGTATGTGTAAGATGAAATTTACACCCCGAGAAAGAAACAAAAGTAGAACATGATCACAGCAGCTAACAGTAATTTCTTCTTTGCTTATAATGTGCCAGGTACTGTTCTAAGTTTCTCACATGGACTTTAATCCTCAAGTGACCTCATACTGACAGAGGAAAGGCACTCCTATCATTATTCCCATTTTATAGGTGAAAAGGCCCAGGAATGAAGACGCTAACAGCTAGCAAGTGGTAGGCGTAGAATGCAAATCAGTCCTCATAGCCCTGAGCACATTGTGTACAACCTTAGTGTTTTAATGGGAGTTTCGTTATGTTGTTAATAGTTGCCAAAGCAGATCAAATACTGTAATTAGTTACATGACCCTATTCGTGCTTATAAAATTGCATTTAGAAAATTTGTTGTTGTTAATCCTCACCTGGGGATATTTTTCTCATTGATTTTTAGAGAGAGTGGAAGGGGGGGGGGTAGAGAGAAAGAAAGAGAGAGAGAGAGAGAGAGAGAGAGAGAGAAACATCGATGTGAGAGACACATTGATTGGTTGCCTCCCACATGTGCCTGCAACCCAGGTAGGTGCCTTTGACTGGAATTGAACTTGGGACCCTTCAGTCTGTGGGCCCATGCTCTATCCACTAAGCCAAACCTGCTACGGTGCATTTAAATTTTTAAAATTGATTTAGAGAGATAGAGAAAGGGGGGAGGGATGGAGAAAAGGAGGGGAGGAGAGAGGAAGAGAGAATAACATGGTTTTGTTGTCCCACTTATTTCTGCATTCACTGGTTGACTCCCTGGCATACAGGGACAATGTTGCAGCAACCAACTGATCTACCCGCCACGGCGAAACTGCATCTGCAAGTCCCCTGGTTCTAGGTATGCAGGCTTCCTGCTTCCCGGCTGTCTGCGCTGACTGCCTTTTTCACTCGGCCCCTCTCTGTCATCTGTCCGATGGGGATCGTCAGCTCATTCATCACCTGACAGATTTACTAACTCACTCATCATTTTGCCATTTACGAGCCTGTCCTTCCCACTCATCCTCCACACCCCAGCTGCCGCTCATTCTGACATGCCAGCTGCCTGCCCACGTCTGCCAGCCAGCCCGGCTCTCTCCTCGGTGGGCCGCTGTCATTATCTCATTTGTCGGGACGTTTCAGTCCTTTTTCCTTATTAACTGGCCTTTGGGTATTTCCTAGACTTCTTTCTTTCCATCCTTGTTCCCCCGGGCCGGTCATTTGGTTCATTTGTTTATTATCACACGATATTATCCATCCCTTGTCATTTGACAGCTTTTCAGATTCCATTAACCAAGATGCATAAGCATTTAAATTCTCTCTCTTGTTCCCATTAGATGAAACCCATCCAGGTTCTGCCCTGTGTTCAGCCGACGTAGAATTTGCAGGAGAATGACATTTAAATGAGCATGTATTGCCTGGCCGGCCTGGCTCAGTGGTTGAGCTTCAATCCATGAACCAGAAGGTCATGGTTCAATTCCCGGTCAAGGCACATGCCTGGGTTGTGGGCTCGGTCCCCAGTAGGGGGCATGCAGGAGGCAGCCGATCAATGATTCTCTTTCATTATTGATCTTTCTCTCTCTCCCTCTCCCTTCCTCTCTGAAATCAATAAAAAGAATATATTTTTTAAAAGACCTGTGTTTGTTAACAGTATCACATGTATACAAAAGGCAGACCGTTTCTTTCTCTCTCCTGAAGTCAGTGTGCAAATAATCAGTGTAACTGATTTTTAAAATTTCTCTTCGTAAAAAAAATAAGAAAAAATAAATAAATTTCTCTTCGTCATTAGGTCATATTGCCTACACAGCGCTATTCTTAAATCAATTTCAATCCATTTTTCTATCTTTTGGGGGAATTTAAGCAAACATAGCAAAACAATCAACTTTGAGTCTTCTTTTCATTCCCAATCAGCATTTTTGTATTTTGATAAAAATGCAACAATTTGATTTAATACCCATACAACCAGGGTGAAATATGGATGTTCCAATATTACCGTTACTTACTGTACCGCATAAGACTACTCGGAGATGAAAGATAAGGCCCTGAGTAATGCTCTTCATTAAAAGAGGTTGGACCCTTGGAAGACAGTCTGGTGAGTAAGAGCCTCTGAGTTACAATTTTTTAAAAGCCGGGTAAGCAGACAGGCCCTCAGAATAGCAGATTAAATTCACTTCCAAATTAGTACAGTTCAGCATTTCAGACGTATGATTTGTATGCTTGGTAATACTTTTAAAATTAACTGTGCCGCGGACGGACACAGCACACACTTCTCAGCCATAATAATTTTTCTAAGGCTATATCTTTATAACAGTAATTGCCTTCTTAGTGAAAGAAGACGCATTTAGAATCGAGGGACACTTCATTTATTACTTTTCTTATATGAGAGCTACCTCAGCGTCTGAGTTTTTTTTTCTTAACGACTTTTTTCTATTAGGAGAACGTGAAGACTCCAGGGCAAAGGAAGCCCATTAGGAAGGGAGGCATTTTAGAGGCAGGGCTTTCCAAGGTGGACACAAGACAACTCTTGTCAAGAATGGACGGTGCAGCCCGGCCACTGTGGTTCGGTGACTGAGCATCGACCTATGAACCAGGAGGTCACAGTTCGATTCCCAGTCAGGGCACATGCCCGGGTTGTGGACTGGATACCCAGTAGGGGGCGTGCAGGAGGCAGGTTCACAGGTCGACGCTCAACCACGGAGCCACGTTGGCTGGGTGGTCCACGTTCCTTTTATCTCCATTCCTACCGGGTCATGTCATTATCTCCAAGTCTAATCACTTAAAGAAGAGATGTAAATAATTCATTATTACAAAAAAAAAAGAAAAAAGCCATGCCGTCTTTTCCATTATCCATCAGAACCGGGAAAACCTCCCGCCCTTGCACAGACACGGACACACAAATGTATTCATGCGCACGCGGAGAAGAACATGCCTACAGGCCAGCGTACACAAACCTGCTTGGGGTGCTTCTGAGATGGAGGAACCAACATCCTCTTTCCATGTCTCCCCAGGACCACCCCAAAGCAACGTGAGAAGCCATTCACTCATACACAGATACGTAAATATATTACATAAATGTATGTATTGATTTTTAGGGAGAGGGAGAGAGAAACGTCGATGTGAGAGTGAAACATCAAAGGCTGCCTCCTGCACGCCTCCTACTGGGGATCAAGCCCGCAACCCGGGCCTGTGCCCTGACCAGGAATGGAACCGGTGACCTTTCGGAGCACGGGACGACATCCAAACAAATGAGCCACACGGGCCAGGATGAGTGATACTCCTTTCTTCACTCTGCTACTCCGATAAACATCCCCTTCGCAGAGGTGCAGTCTCCAAAACACACAAAGAGCTGACATTCCTTGCACTCCGCTAAAACACGCCCTATCTGTGTGATCACACATGAGCATACGTATATGCACGCACGTGTTTCCACGTCTAGACAAAATGCATCTACGCTTATTAGATCGTCTTGGTTCACGGCATGTCCTCGTAGGAGGGCACCGGAAGGGAGCAAACAGAGAGGAAGGCACGCGCGCATCTCAGGCAAGCTCCTGAGCGGCTGCTCTCCAAGTGGGACAGGCCACATGCGCTTGGTTATCACTTACGACGCTTTCAGCAAGGTCTGCTTTCCCCTTTGGGCAAAAAAGCCAGAATTCTGTGCCAATCGCATTGAAAGCGCTCCCACCACAGAGGCCACAGCCCTGTTCCAAGGCCACCACGGAGAGCAGGTGCGACTTACCACGAGGGAGAGAGGCCTTTTCCAGGAGACGACGCCAATGAGTCCTGACAGCAGCACCTGGAAAGACAAACGGTGCAGGAAGGTGAGATGCTTCGGGAACCTTTAATGTACAATCGAAACAGTAGGGACAGTTGCAACCTGAAGAATCACTTCTAGAATCCAGCGCATGTGCGTGCGCGCGCACACACACACACACACACACACACACACACAGGTTATTCTCCAGCCCAGAGCCCCAGGTCCCCCTCCCCAGCTCCTGTCCAAAAATGCACCTGCACTCCCCTCCCCAACCCAGTCTCCGCTTGTCATCTTTATCTCCCACAGGGCACCCCTCCTCCTGGTCACTCAAATCCTGGAGACGGCCCCCTCTCCCGCCCCCACATCCCAACAGGCACAGTGAAGAGAGGAGGTGTGGCTCCCCCTCCAACAGGGCCCTGTTCCAGGAGGCCCCATTGTAAGTAGGTCCTAGTGTCCTCCCACAAGGCCTCCTATGAAGATGAGCCCCCAGGCAGTCAGGGCCCAGGCAGGAGAGGCACTTCGGATTTAAGACATGAATGCAGCCAGGCTGGCTGGGGTGGCTCAGTGACTGAGCATCGAGCTATGAACCAGGAGGTCACGGTTCGATTCCCGGTGAAGGCACATGCCCGGGTTGTGGGCTTGATCACCAGTAGGGGAGGGTGCAGGAGGCACTGGGTCCATGATTCTCTCTCATTATTGATGTTTCTCTCTCTCTCTCCCTCTCCCTTCCTCTCTGAAATCAATAAAAAACTATTTTTAAAAAAAGACATAAATGCAAGTTTCAAAGATGAAATCCAACCAGCGCCCAAGTGCATGCAGGAGCCTCCCGCTCTCTCCTCCGCGGGAGCCAGCGGGAAAGGAGATCGGAGTGGGCAGGTGTCTCCCCGTCTGGGGAAGAAAGTTACGTAAACCATTTGCAAATCGTTCTGATTCTCTCCTTTCAGAAGTGTCCTCTTTGCGCAATAAAAACAATGTATTTGTTGGTACAGTACATTAATTCCATTAAAATCACATTAAGTGTAATGAAAAGCTCTCAGAGTCTAATTACGCCAGCGAACTCACAGACCCGCATCAACTTTTAAACCCACTGCAATTAGAACAGGAGGCGGACCTGTCTGGTAGACAAATCGTTCCTCCGTTTCCAAATGATGATGACTGAAGGCCCGCTGTCCTAATGCTACAAACCACACACTACGCATGCAGACCCCAAAATCTGTCCCTAGAGGGCCTCGGCCTGTGCTCCTCAGTCCTGACTCCTCTGAGTTCATCTCCCCAGAGCACACTCCGTTCTTGCAATTCCTGCCCTGAAGGGTAGGGTCCCCTAAATTCCCCAACATTCACAGTGGCACCTCGGAGCGCCCCCTGCAGTCCAGACCTGGCCACTGCGGGGCCCACAGGCTGCCAGCCTCCCTCCCTGGGCCCTTGCAGCCCCCAGGTGGCCCTCTCTCCTGCCCTCTGCCCTCAGGCCAGCCCTGGTCCTCCTAGGCTGCCCAGGCAGAGACGTGTATGCCAAGTGAGTCTGTGTCCTGGCACGTAGTGAGGCCCCGGGAGGAGGCAGAGTCAGGAGGACAGAGGAGGAAGGGGTAGGGGACTTCCCGCACTGCTGACCATCCCATGGGCGTGTGAGGACCAGCCGGCCGCCCACTGTCTAGGGCAGGGGTGGGGAACCTTTTTTCTGCCAAGGGCCACCTGGGTATTTATAACATCACTCTCGGGCCATACAAAAGGACCCACTTAAAATTAGCCTCTCTATTTGCTCAAACATTTCATCAACTCACCCCTAACGCCTTGGCAGGGCCAGACCAAATGACTCTGCGGGCCTTACACGGCCCATAGGCCGACATTCCCCACCCCTGGTCTGGATGAAGGGACACACGGGACAGCGAGGTTCTACCTAGACCCCTGCCCCTCACTCATGGCCTATGTCCACCTACAGGTTCAGACGCTCCTACGACCCCCCAACAGAGGCTGGGGGACCTAAACAACCGTGCCGCTGGTGGCATGAAGGGCTCCTTCTCTCTGACCATGTGGGCCTGGACAGATGCAGTGGCCTCTCCAGCAGCTCAGGTGGTTGGGTGTCAACCCATGTACTGAAAGGTCGCCGGTTCAAATCTCAGTCAGGACACATGCCCAGGGTGTGGGCTCAATCTCTAGTAGGGGGGGGCGTGCAGGAGACAGCCAATCCATGATTCTCTCTCATCATTGATGTTTCTCTCTCTCCCTCTCCTTCCTATCTAAAAATAAATAAAAACATGTATTTTTTTAAACATCCATACTGAACAAAGGCTGTTTTAAGTCTTCAGGCCTATGTGCAATAATGAGTTTAAAAAAAAAAAGGACCTTTCATGTGAGTGACATATGAGTAGTGTATATTATCTTGCAAATATAATTCACATACATTTTCCATATAAATCACCTCAAATCAAGATCTGATTTTCTCTAATAGCTCTAGTCTGAAAAGAAGTTATGAACAGGAGTGAAGAGACACACACGTCCACGGCTTCTTTAATTGCATTTTCCGCAGAACCCTGCAGTTCTATTTTTAATATTTGATTACACCATCCACAGCGCTATATTCCACAAAAGCAATTACGTTTTGCTCAGCGGAAAAGTCAGAATGGAAGAATATGCGGCACACGACCAACGGTAGAAGAAGGAGCAATTTAGAACATTTTAGGATAATGATTGAGATCACGGATTCGGAAGTTACAGCAAACACATTTTAAAGACATCTTATCACGGAGCTGACTGCAAGCTGAAGTTATGCACCACGCAGACGGGGGGAAAAACCGCCCTGGGAGCCCAGGATTTTATCAAAACACTGACGGAGGCGCTCTGAGAACCTAAGCTCTTACCAACACTTCTCCTCACCGCTCTCTCCAAGTCCAAAGCGGCACCTACCTCCTGTGCTTTCCGTGTCGCCAAGGGCTTTTGCCCAAACGTCTAGCCAGCGCTAACGTAGCTGATGTTTCCCCTGCTATGTTCATGCTTGTTCACGACATTTTCTTGTCTTTTGTGTTTCTAATACTCCTGTGTTTTGCTATTTTGGTCAACTTTTCTATTGGTTTGCTGTTTCCTTTTTCTAGGCGTTTGGAAATGATACATCTCTTTTCTATACCATTTTTTAAACACCTATTTGAAATTATTTATCCAAGACGTGTATAGCGATAACACATATGCCTACAGGTTTTGTAGGTACATGTGCTTTCTACTTCACCTTACCTCCCAGATGTTTTGAACAACCACATTGGTATCAACCATTCAAACCTAACTTCACATTTTCTTGTTTTAATTGCTCATTGCTGCTTTGTTTATACCAGTTCTTCTCATCTCTTGATTTACTTGTTATTAATAATATTTTGCATTTGGCTTATACACGTCAATACTTTCTTTTTTTTCAGAAATGAAATGCAGAGACTTTTAGTTATTTTTCTGAAGATATCTATTGTTTGCTCATTTACATGAATGAGCTTAGAAATCTCACCTACAGAAAGCCTAGAGAAATTTGCTTAACAACCGTTCTCCTTCTAAAATAAATACAGGTTGCTGCATTATCTTCTAGCATTTTGTTTTGAGGACATTCCTAAGACCTCTTCACCTCGAACGTGCAAAACTGACACAGAGATGAACAAATCCATCACAACATGAGCAGAATACTCCCTGGCTCTTACGGCGATGAAATACTGTGATACGCACCTAACCTACTTACTACACAAATTAACTTTCAAACGGAATATCAAGTGAGATAACAGACATGTTTAAGAGTCCGTGGAGTAAAATAACGATCAAAGCACTAACTGGGATGGGATGTTCCTAGAATCGCTGGGAGTCTGAAATTGATTGGAGAGCAGCCCTGTGGTCAGCCTTCTACACTCCTAATCAATTCTCTCACGGGAAGCTTTTGGACAGCTACACTCTCACGCACTCAAAAAATATGTTTCCATTTCTGAAAGCATCACTTCTCCATTTTTCTTACGCTGTCGCACCAAAAGGAAAAAGTAAGTTTTCTGAATTGTTTAAATGTGCATGACTTCCTAGGATGTAAAGTGGCCCGTGTTCTCAGTCCACGCCCATATGGCCAAACGCGTCACTAGATCATAAAGAGCACCCAGGACTGGCAGACTGGATAACGCGGGGGGTCCTGGGCTGCCACTCACCAGCTCCTATCAAAGTTAGTATAATGAAAATGTCAAGAAAGCGTCACATTTAGAAACCACAAAATACAAAGATGGAGCTGTCAGTCACTCCGGACGCTTGCCAAATGAAAAGTTTAAATATAGTCACGGGTGAGCAGAACTACTGCCAACCACGTAAGCTCACCAGGCAAGACCTGGTCTTTCTTGTCTAACACGATATATCCCCAGCTCCAAACACAGGACTGGGCACACAACAGGCACTCAGATCATTATGCGTGAATGGTAGGTGACTGGGTGGGTGGGTGGATGGAAGGGTAGGTGGGTGGATGGATGGATCGATGAATAAACGAACAGACAGATGAATGGATGGGTGACTGGGTGGGTGGGTGGATGGATGGATGAAGAAATAAGTACAAGGATAAATAGATGAATGGATGGGTGAGTGGGTGGGTGGATGGATGGGTAGGTGGGTAGATAGACGGTAGAGTGGATGGGTGACTGGGTGGGTGCGTGGGTGGATGGATAGATGGATGGGTGAGTAGATGGATGGGTGGTGAGTGGGTGGGTGGATGGATGGGTGAGTAGATGGATGGGTGAGTGGGTGGGTGGATGGATGGGTGAGTGGGTGGGTGGATGGATGGATGGGTGAGTAGATGGATGGGTGAGTGGGTGGGTGGATGGATGGATGGGTGAGTAGATGGATGGGTGAATGGGTGGATGGATGGGACGATGAATGGAAGGAAGAGGGAGAGAGGTTGGGAAGAATAACCCTGCACAACCAGCTCTGATCTGACCTATCTTTAATGGTCCTGGAGACCACCACCTCCCCCAAAATAGCCAAGGATCCACTCTGAGTCTTGGGTGGACTGACAAAAGGAAAGCAGGGAAAACAAAATGGAACTG